GAGGCGGAAGGATCGCCGGAAGCCCAGCTGGTTGAGGCTGCGGTGGCCGGGAGCGTGCCACTGCACTCACCCTGGGCGACAGAGTGAGACTCCGACTCAAAAAATAAAAAAAAAAAGCTCTTCATGCTTTCCTAGCAAATTACCTAGCTTGCCCTCTAATCATTAACAAAGGGCAGAACTGGCTTCTGGAGGTAGCTACTGAGAATTGTCTTACAACCCCCAAGTACTGATTTCTTTTCTATTCCAAGTATTTGACTTCCAGCCATAAAGGGCCAGGATGACCTGATCTGTTGTGGTCTATGTGACACAGACCAGCACCCTATCACCACGGCAACAGTTCCTGGGCTTACCTGCCCCCTCTGTAATGACATAAATCAGACCGCCAGCCCATCACCACGATGACCTGTCCCACCAAAGGGAAGCTTTAAAAGCATTCAACCTCAAGCACTTGCCGCCATTGCTCTCTTCAAGCTCTAGCCCTCTCTCCAATTTTGGAGAGGTGGATCCACCTCTTTCTCTCTAACCTACCTTTTAAATAAACTATTTTCCCTAACCTAATTTCTGTGCAATTATTCATATCACACCCGCAGCACCAACTCAGCCTACCAGCCCACTGACCTAACATTTTTACCAACCTAACAGATGGCAAGCATGACAATCAGGCCTGCCATGCAGGAGCCTCACCGTGGGGCAAGCCCCAGGGAACCTCAGATGGGAACTGCTGCCTGCTCCCTCCTGGCTCCTGCAGGGGATGCAGAGCTTAGGTCCATTGTACAGATGGAAACCAAGGCCCTGGGAGGCAGGGCTGCTTGCCCAAAGTGACCCTGCTAAAACATGGCAGAACCAGGATCTGACCAAGCTGACACAGCCCTAAGAGACATGTGGACACAGACTCTGAGACCCCATGAGACAGGACACAGCCGGACACACAGTCACTTACCAGGTTGTCAGCAGCCAGTGACTCAGGAGAATCACCTGTGGCACAACAAGAGGGGGAAAGGTCTGTGAATGTGACCATCACATGGGGTGGGAAACAGGCACCCCTGCCTGGCATCTCTGAGGGCCTGAGAAATGTCTGCTGAAAAGACGTGCCCGGAGGGAAGAAGGGAAAGCACGGGCCAGGTGGGGGAGCTGCCACGTCACTCCCGCCTCTCCGTTAACATCAGCGGCCAGGTGGGGGAGCTGATACCCACACTTCTGCCTGCCTCCAAGGGACTCCACGAGACTCCTCTGGGAAAACCAGGGCAACTACTCTGGAATCAGAAGAGGTCTCAGTAGGAAATGGAGGGCTGGGGGCAAGCAAGAGGGCATTTCTTGGAACACCGCAGCTGGAACGTTGCAGGGGACAGAGAAGCAGCTGCTGTGGCTGCAGAGGGAGGACAAGGGTGGAGGACAGGGCCTGAGGACTTGGGAAGGAGCATGGGTTTCAGGCCAAATGCGACGAGGGAGGTCCTGGAGACTTGCAGGGGACAGCATGGCATGACTTGTGTTAAGACCCCTCTGGCTTTATTTCTGGATTTCAGTAATTTTCCACCCTTTTTTTTCCTTTTGAGTCAGAGTCTCACTCTGTTGTCCAGGCTGCAGTGCAGTGGCACACTTATGGCTACCGCAGCCTTGACCTGCTAGGCTCAGGCGATCCTTCCACCTCAGACTTCCAAGGAGATGGAATTACAGGCATGTGCCACCTTGCCCAGCTAACTTTCTGATTTATTGTAGACATAAGGTCTCATCAAGTTGCCCAGAGGCTGGTCTCGAACCCCTGGGCTCAGACAATCCTCTCACTTCTACCTCCCAAAGAGTTGGGTTACAGCCGTGAGCCACCACACCCAGCCCTTTTTTCTTTTTTTTGAGTTGGAGTCTCACTCTGTCGCCCAGACTGGAGAGCAGTGGCTGCTCCCGGCCACCGCAGCTTCGATCTGCTGGGCTCCGGTGATCCTTCCACCTCAGCCTTCCAAGTAGCTGGAACTACAGGTGCGCGCTACCACGCCCGGCGATTTTTTGATTTATTGTAGAGATGAGGTCTCATCAAGTTGCCCAGGCAGGTCTCGAACCCGCGGGCTCAGGCAATCCACTCACCTCAGCCTCCCAAAGGCGCGGGATTACAGGCTGAGCCACCGAGCCCGGCTCCTTTTTTCTTTTGAGTAAGAGTCTCACTCTCACCCGGGCTGGAGTGCAGTGGCATGATCATTGCTCATGACAGCCTTGACCTCCTGGGTTCAGGCAATCTCTCCACCTCAGTCTCCGAAGTAGCCAGACTACAAGCCCACACCACCAGGCCCAGCTAATTTTTCAAAAAAATTTTTTGTAAAGATAAAGTCTCACTATATTTCCCAGGTTGGTCTGGAACTCCTGGGCTCAGGCAATCTTCCTGTTTCATCCTCCCAAAGTGCTGGGATGACAGGCACAAGCCACTGCGCCCGTCCTATGCCACCCTTGTGAATGCCCTCTAGGTCCTTAAATGACAGCCCCTCTACTGGAACTGGGCTCTGTTCTCTCCTGGTCATCAACAGGGCCCTGACTGGAAAGCACACAGAGAGAGGAAGAGAGGGAATGGGGGGAGGGCAGTGGCTGCACAGAGAACTCCCGAAGAGGAGGGCGCCCTAGGCCAAGTGCAAAGGGGTAGCCAGGCCCCAGAGCCCTGGGTGTGGAGGGTGTGGCTATAGTGAGGGTGTGGAGGGTGTGGCTATAACTTCAGGAGGCCAGAAGCCCCCAGGCACATGCTTTGGCGGGGCCTGGTGGTCAATGGGGCCCTAGAGGGAGTTTACTCAAGGATTGGGGTTCAGGCTGGAGGGAGAGATGCCAAGAGCCTGGGGTAGGTATGGGCCCCAACAGCAAGCGCAGATCTGGGCAAGGTTTGCAGGAAAAGGCCCAGGCTATCAGCCTGGGTAAAAGGGCAGAGGGCATCACCCCTGCAATGAAGAGCTCTGTGGAGGGAAAAGCATTTCTGGAAGTTTCTCTTTGCGCCAGATCCTGTGCCCAACACCTCATGTGACCTTATCTGGGTCATGGCAGCCTCTGGAACAGATACTTTTTTTTTTTTTTTTTTTTTTTTAGTTGGAGTCTCACTCTGTCTCCCAGACTGGAGTGCAGTGGCCACTCCCAGCCACCGCAGCCTCCCAAGGAGCCGGAATTACAGGCATGTGTTACCACGCTCGGCTGATTTTTTGGTTTATTGTAGAGATGAGGTTCGCTGCCCAGGTGGGTCTCGAACCCGCGGGCTCAGGCAATCCACTCACCTCAGCCTCCAAGGTGCGGGATTACAGGTTGAGCCACCAAGCCCGGCTTGGAACAGATACTTTTATGAGTCCCATTTCACAGATGAGAAAACTAGGCACAGAGGTAAATTAAGTTCATCAAGACTCCACAGCCAGGCTTGGTGGCTCAGCCTGTAATCCCAGCACTTTGGGAGGCCAAGGTGAGTGGACTGCCTGAGCCTGTGGGTTCGAGACCTGCCTGGCCAACTTGGCAAGACCTCATCTCTACAATAAATCAAAAAATCAGCCAGGCGTGGTAGCGCATGCCTGTAATTCCGGCTACCTGGAAGGCTGCCGGAGCCCAGCAGGTCGAGGCTGGGAGCGGCCACTGCACTCTAGTCTAGGTGACAGAGTGAGATTCCAACTCAAAAAAGAAAAAAAAGTCCAATCTGACTCCCAAACCAGTGCTCCTAGCTTCTACACTGGAGGCTGGGGTCCTCCGCTAAGAGGAACTATGTGGGCTTGTGGGAAATGTGCACAGCCTCCGCACACGGGACAGATGAGCCCCAGAGCAGACAGTCAGGTGGTTTCCTTCACCTCCAGGGTCAGAGTGGTCCAAAGGGGCCTGGCCCTAGAGAACCTCCCCTCCCAGCTGTAGGATGCTAGAAACTAGTTCTGGGGGGACTGATGCACCTGACTTTCAGAGGTCTCAAGACTGCAAGGCTGGCTGCGTGTCACCGGAGGCAGCTTGAGAAGGAACCTCAGCGACTAACCCCCCCACATCCCCCTGGTTTGCCATGGGGCCCTTCTTGTGTGCTGGGCACCTCTCCAAGTGCTTTCTACATGTAAACACACTTAATCCTCACAATCCTTTGAGGTACTACTATTACCCCATTTACAGTGAGAAAACTGAGGCTCAGAGGAAAGAAATTTGTCCAAGGTCACACAGCAGGCCAGCAGCAGAACCAGGCTTGAAACCCAGACTGAGATGTCTGGACGTGAGACCTCTCTCCATTACAAAGAGGGGAAACTGAGGCAGAGGAGACTCTTCCGTGGGTGTGTTTTCCCAGGGGCTTTAAAGAAGTTACCACGTGGTGCTGTTCCTTAAACCTTTACAGTTGAACCTGACATCATCCCACCTGCTTTGCGTCTGCCCTGGAAAGATATGCAGAGATGTGGAGCTGCCCTCCCCGGACGGACATCAGTGGGGAGACACTCGCAAGCCAGGTGCTCGGCTTTAGGAGGGTGGGGCCCAGTGAGACCCCTGTCCTGGAGGAAAGTGGGAACAAAGGAAAGAGAAGCTCAGGGTACAGCAGGGGAGGGTGTGAGGTGGGGATGGCCAGAGAGGCTTCTCTGAGGAGGTAACAGTGGGGCCGGGGGCAGAGAGGAAAGAAGGGCATTTGGAGCAGGAGAGACAAGGCTCTGTGGCAGAAGAGGGCATGGAACATTCTGGAAACTGAGGGAAGCCAGTGTGGCTGGAATCAGAGGAGAAAGGGACAGGAAGCTAGGGGGTGGGCATGGGGGAGGAAGATTCTGATCTTTATCTTCAGAACTCTCTGGCTTACAGGAAACTCTGGTCTACGGAGCGGAAAGGGCCGGCTGAGGGCTGCCAGTGTCCTAACGTCCAGCTTTCAGTCTAAGAGAAGACACCAAAGAAGGAGCCAGTGGGTCAGGCTCGGTGGCTCAGCCTGTAGTCCCAGCACTTTGAAAGGCCGAGGCGAGTGGATTGCCTGAGCCCGCCAGTTCGAGACCCACCCGGGCAACTTGGCGAGACCTCGTCTCTACAATAAATAAAAAACTAGCCAAGTGTGGTAATGCACACCTGTAGTTCCAGCTACTCGGAAGTCTGAGGTGGAAGGATCGCCGGAGCCCAGCAGGTCGAGGCTGTGGTGCCCGGGAGCATGCCACTGCACTCCAGTTTGGGTGAGAGTGAGACTCCAACTCAAAACAAAAAAAAGAAGGAGGAGTCAGCAAAGAGGCCTACTTTTGTCCTCTTTTTACAGTGAAGAAACAGATACTCTGAGAGGTTAAGAAACCTTCTCAAGGTCACACAGCTAATAAGCAGCAAAGCTTGGCCTAGAATGCAGGCCTACCACCACTTCTCTCCCCCACATCAACACCTAATCCTTCCCACTCCTGACTTCTCAATCTGCGTTTCCAAGTGCCTGGCTCCTGCCCCTAGATGTGTGCACAATAGGTCTTTAATACAGGCGCTTCTTGGCCTATACAGGCCTGGTAGATTAGGGAGAGAATGGCGGTTGGGATGAAAGGCTGTGGATCTGCAGGGGACCCTGTGGATTAATCACGCTGTATAATCTGTGAAATAAAAGACTTTCTCTAGAGCTGAAAGAGACTGTGACCCAGAGTAAGCACCCGGCTAAGGTCCAAAGCTCTGCCATCTCAATATGGAAGAAAACAGTATAACCTGGGCCAGGTGCCTGTAATCCCAGCACTTTGGGAGGCCAAGGCGGGAGGACTGCTTGAGTCCAGGAATTCAAGACCAGCCTGGGCAACATAGCGAGACCTCCTCACTACATAAAATAAAAAAATTAGTCGGGCATACAGGTTTATGCTACCTGGGAGGCTGAGGCGAAAGGACTGCTTAAACTCGAGCCCAGTTTGAGGCTGTGGTGAGCCATGATCGTACCTCTGCACGCTAGCCTGGACAACAGAGTGAGACCCTGACTTAAAAAAAAAAACAACAGTATAATCTGGAAATATTGCAGATCCTGAAAGACATACATTCCCCTCCATGTGACAATCGCTTTGGTTTTATATCTT